AGAGAAAGAGAGAGATGAGAGGAGGAAAATCTTATCATCTCAGTAATGCATTCAGAAAAAGCATTTGATAAAATTCAACACATAGCAAACTAGGACTAGAGGGGAACTTCCTTAATCTCATAAAGGTGTCTACCAAACACCCCCAACAAACATCATATTTAATAATGAAACATTGAGAACATTCTTTTTGCTTCCATTCAATGGTGTACAGTCCAAGGAAGTAAAAGGAGGAAAAGAAACTGTAGTTAAAAGGACTGGAAAAAAAGAAACAAAATAGTCATTACTGGCAGATAACATAATTACGTAAGTAGAAAACCAAAAAGAATTCACAAAGGGAATCCAGAAAGAATTATTAGACTTGATACAAGAGTTTACAAGGTTGCTTGATACAAAAGCCATACACAAAAGTCAATTGTGCCCGGCCGGGCGTGGCTCAGCGGTTGAGCGTCCACCTGGAATCCAGGCAATTGGGGTTCTATTCCCGGTCAAGGCACATGCCCGGGTTGCGGGCTAGGCAGCCGATCAATGACTCTCTCATCATTGATGTTTCTATCTCTCCCTCTCCCTCTCCTTTCCTCTCTCTGAAATCAATAAAAAAAAAGAAGAAAAAAAAGTCAATTGTGTTTCTATATACCAGCAACGCAATCAGAAGGCGAATTTAAGAGAAGATAGCATTTATCATGGCACAAAAAACAAGTCTCTAGTAATAAATCTAACAAATGATGTGCAAGTCCTTTAGGGGGAAATGCACTGATCTTAATAAATAGAAAGATATTCTATGCTCGTACATGGGGAAACTCAATATTTTAGAGATGGCTAGTCTCCAAAGTAATTCAAATTTCAAAAAATCCCAGCACAGTTTTTCCTGGAACTTGACAATCTGTTTCTTAAACTTCTAAGGAGAACTAAAAGTCCTAGAATAAGCGAGATAATTGTGAAAGATGAGGAGAGGGAGGGGCAACAAATGGAGGAGGAACGCAAGGAAGAGGAAAAGGAGAAAAAGAGAATAAAAAAGAAGAGACTCCCAATTATGAAAACTTGCTTTAAAGCTCTAGTAAATACAACAGGGTAGGCAAGTAAATCCAATGGACAGAAGAGAGCCATGCTTACATAGGTATGGGACATGGCATATGACCAAGGGCTCACCACACATCTGTGCAGAAGGATAGGCTGACTAATGGGGTGTGAACAATAGACACCCCTGTGGAAAAATATAAAACATTATCCCTATCTCACACCATACACAAACAAACTCATTCTAGATAGATTACAGACCTGAATATGAAAGCCTATAAATATATTCAGAATAGAAACACAAGAGGAAATCTCTATGCTCTTGGGTAGGGGAGGATTTCTTAAGACAAAAATGACAAACCATAAAGGACAAGATCAATAAATGTAATTACATTCAATTAAGACTTCTTCATCTAACAATGCTACAAGCAAACTGAGAAGATGGGTAATGGGCAGGGAGAAGACATAACAGACCAAGGACTGGTATCTAGTATATATAAAGAATCCCTCAAAATAGTAAGGAAAAGACAACTCATATAGAAAAATTGGCAAAGACATGATCAGGCATTTCACAGGAGAGGAAACACAAGGAAGCTCAATATTACTAGTACTCAGGGAATGCCAGTTAAAAGCCCAGCAAGACATAACCACTTTGCACCCCTCATATTGACAGAAAGTACTAAGTACTAGGTAAAAGTACTAAGTACAAGTGTTGGCAAAGGTGTGGAGAAACAGAAACGCACTAGGTATGTCCAAATTCTCCCTGATTTGCTGACTTCTGCACCCTCAAAGCTCACCTCAACCAACCTTGTGCTCCAGGTAGAGGGAAACACCCCATGAGCATGTCACCTGAAGTCTCAGCCTCATCAGTCCCCATCACTCCTCCTGCCCAGTTCCTGCCGTGTTCATGGTTCAAGGCCATGTGGCCTGATGGTTAAGTGCAGAAGCCCTGTGGTTGACTCCTAACCTTGCCATTTACTAGCTGTGCAAACTTGTGTAAGTTTCCTAACCTTTCATGCCTCAGTTTCTTCTCCTGTGAACTGGAGGAAATAGCTATACCCCCTTCTGGGGCCAATGGAAGGACTGAATGAGTTAATATATCTAGAACACTTAGCCCAGCCCCAATACCTCAAGAGCAGGGCCATAGTCATAGCACTGGTTTAAGGTTAGCTTAAATATCGCTTCCTTTCCCTGTTGCCCTGAGTGCCTCTAGACTTGATTCCCCCTCCCTGTGCCTCTCCATGCCCTCCATAGGTGGGCTTTTCTGGAAATGGGGCCTTATCTGTTGGGAAGTAGTTCTGCTTGAGACCCAGAAGACTCTTGAGGCATGTGGAAGTGAGCTTTGTCTCTGAACGGTGCCAGAAGCCTGGCACCCAGTAGGCACTTCATGGAAGGCTATGGAATGCTCCCCTGACCACTCCATGGGAGGGCACCTCCCTGCTCTCACCTGCTCCAGCCAGGTGCCTGCAGCCTGCCCTCCGCCATGCCCACCAAAGCCAGCAGAGGGCAGCAGCACCCTGCCCTGCGCTGTCGGGCAAACGGGTGGAAGGGGAGGGGCTGGGCTGCCTGGCCAGCCAGGATGAGTTGGGTTGGGCTCTATTGCATTGTGGGGAGGGAGGCCAGGGCTACACAGAGAGGCACTTCTGGCACCCTCAGCTGCTCTTCAGCCTTTGCCGGGGGCCCACCCAGGTAGGTAAGAATCAGGGCAAGTGAGGGCAAGGGGTGCAGAGGTCTCTGGATTGGGGGGGCACCACCTCAGGGTGTGCTGGGACCTGGGAGAAGCCAGGGGTCCATAGGGTCAACTAACTCTGATCCGGCAAAGGCCTTCAGGGCCAGGCCCCAGCCCTGAGATAATACCTCCTGATGCCTAGGGGACAGCACTCCACCCCCACCACCCCCCAGGGTGGTCCTGGAGCTGGGAGGTAAGACTCAGAAGTTCTGCCCCTGAATGGAAGAGCTGGCGCTGCCAAGGGCAGGGCACAGGATAAGGGGGTGGCCCGCCTGCCTCCCTGCCCCCACAGCCACCCAACTGGCCCAGCCAGGTGGCAGCAAACCCTGCTGCTGCCACCTTGCCCTGAAGCCTGCTGCTGCTGCACACCATGGAAAAGGCAGAGACTCCAACCTGAGTGTACCTGCCCCTACATCATGGAGCAGAACTGTAGCTCTGATGGTTTGGTGTGCAGATGGTGCCCTGTGAGGGTGGCAAGGGAGCCAGCTGCTAGTGGACACTGCTTTCCCCACCCCATGCATGGAGGGGGGTCTAGGCCCTTCCTGGGATGGTGTTTCCTTGGGGGAGGGGGAGGGGTACAGCCAGCAATCAGTTGCCATGCCTGAGGCTAAGGGTTGGGTTCCTGTGGGCCATACCTACCCACCCCTTCCTGTGTATTCTCTGCTGGCACTGTCCACTACCACCATGATCTACCTGGCATGACTTTGCCAGTCCTCGGAGGTGGGGCTGGACGGGGACAGCCCAATCATTTGCTCTCTGGCCAGTCTTATTCTGGGCCAAAGGGGTAGGGGGCGTTGGAGGAGAGTCTCCTAAACGGGTTGCCTTTGTCAGAGTCTCCCCTGCCCCCAGCCTGGACAAAGGCAGGCATTGAGGGCCAGGACTGGCACTTCAGCCAGGCACCAAGGCTACTAAGGCTGAGTCTGGCATTGGGGGGACTCGGCGCTCTGACCTTCCGTGGGGGTTCTGTGGCCTCCCTGTGCCATTGTGCACAAGGAGGAGCTCCCTGGCTGACACCAGAGGGATGGGGCTGGCTGTGTGGGTGTCATTTTTCTGGCTGGAGGAAACCCTGTGCCTTTGTCCCCAGATCCCAGGGGGTGTCTCTCTGAGGGTGGGGAGTGGCAGGGAGTCCCCTGGCCAGAACAGCCGGGGTGGGGGGAGAGTACCAGATAGTGGGTTCCTGGCCTCTGGACAGAAGGGACATTGTTGAGGTGGAGGCAGGGCTGCGTTGGCCAGGCCACTATTGACAAAGCTGCCAGCTGTGGTGGAGCCCGGCCACTATACCCTTGCCCTCCCCCGCCAAGCCTCCCTCCTCCCCCAGGGCCAGTGTGAACGGGGCCAAGCCTCAACTGTCTCCCTCCCACTCAGGGCAATGCCTCCTACAGCAGTCTTGTGCCTGTCACCACTGCCCTGGGGCAGCTGAAGTGAGGAGACGTGTTTCCCTCTCCTGCTCTCCTTCTCCGTGGTGAGTGCCTGGGTCCCCAGTCCCCAGAGATGTCCTTGGGAGGGGCAGGGCAAGTAAAATAGTATAGGGGATCCTGGGTGTGGGGTTCCAATTGCTGCACCTCCTGGCCACAGTCCCTCTACCCCACCACCCGCATGCCACAGACACTGTCACTGATATCCCAGGTCTAGAGGAAATGGCCTTGTCTCTGAGCCAGGCCTGACCTTCCTGTCTGTGTTACTAAGATAAGGGGCTCTGCCTCACCACCATGCCTGCGAGCCCAGGAGTGCATCTCTGCTGGCAGGCACGGGGCACTGAAAGAGTGTGGGCCTCCTCCTGCCCTACCCATACGCAGTTACGTGGGATCCTAGCTCAGCTTAGGATCCAGCTGTCCCCTTCTCTGTGGCTCTGGGTTTGGGGTCAGGAGGAGAGAGGAGCAAGGCCCAGGGGCTCTGCCCTTTTGACATCTCTCTCTTTATCTCTCTTGCCTGGTCACCTAGGCAGCCAGCTAGGGCCATTGGGTAGGGGCTGCTGCTAATAGCCCCCCCCACTGGGAAGCAGGGCTGACTTGAGTACCCACCAGACCCATGGGAACTCCGTCCAGTCTGGGCTCCAAATGGCTCCAAATGGGTGGGGAGCCGTGCCTATGCCTTCTCTGGGTAGGACGCCCTTCAAGCACTCTGCCCTTCCTCCCCAACTCCCCTCTCTTCAGTCAAGCTCTCTTCCTGGCTATCTTCTCATTCCCCTCTGTTCTTTCTCACCCCTCCACATCCACACTCCTGGCGCCAGCAGGGGACAGACTTCCTGTACCCTGTGTTGTTTCTTGGTGCCCTCCCCTCCCCCACACCTCACTCAGGCTGGCTCCCAGCTCTCCCCCAACTCCTGCTCTGACCAACTCGAAGCTCAGTTTGGGGCCCTCGCAGCCGTCTATGGCATGACCTGTTCTCCTTGGCCCTGGCTTGTCCCTCCTCCTTGAGTTCTTTGGGGCAAGCTGGGGCAGTGTCCAGCTGCATCTCAGCTTGCATTCCTCCCACTGCCTCAGTTTCCCCCTGCTCTTTCTCCTCTCTCCAGCACTCTTTCTGCCCACTGGTGAGGGTCCCTCTTTGCCAATGGCCCAGGGCCAGTTTCCTTTCCCTGATGGGGTCTCCCTGCTCTTTTTTTAAAAACTTTTTTTTAAATTGATTTCAGAGAGAGGAAGGGAGAGGGAGAGAGAGATAGAAACATCAGTGATGAGAGTCATTGATCAGCTGCCTCCTGCATGCCCCCCTGCTGGGGATCGAGCCTGCAACCCGGGCATGTGCCCTGACCGGGACTCGAACCAAGATCTGGATCATAGGTCGGCGTTCAACCACTGAGCCACGCCAGCCGAGCAGGGTCTCCCTGCTCTTGCTAACCCTCACACCTCTTACTCCCATGCCCTCTCGTCTGAGTGGCGGGCACAGGATCCCCTATGATGTGGTTTCCATCAGCCTTCCTTCTCCCATGTCCTCTTCCGTCTCTGGGCTCCTGCTCCCTTTCCCAATTGTCTGGGTGCTCCCCATTCCTCTGCCTCCCTTCCTCTCTCCCCATCACCAGCTCCTCTGCCTTGCCCTCCTCTCCTCTTCTCCATGGTCTTTCCTCTCTCTGTCACAGCCCCCTGTCACTGAGTCCTTCTGTTCATGTTCTTCTGTCTTTACAAGATCTGTCTCCCTCCAACAATCTAAATGCATATAAAATAGAAGATAAAAGCAATTCTTTCTGGCGCATGCATATGAACACCCCCCATCTCTTGGAAACTCTCTTTGTCCCTCTTCCTACCCTCTCTCTCCACCCCCCTTTCTCACTCACTCCCTCTATCTCCCTGTCTCTTTCTCTCTGCTCTCTTTGTCCCTCTCTTTGCTTCTCTCTTCCCTCTCTCTTTCTCTGTCCCTGCTTTCTGCCTCCCTCTCTCTGCCTTTCTGTCCTTCTCTCCCTCCCTTTTTATCTCTGTCTCTCTTCTCAGCTCTTCTCTGCCTCTGGTGCTCTTTCCCTACCCCTTCTTCTTCTGTTCCCCTTGCTGCTCGGACAGGCGCTGGCCAGGGGTGGGGAGGTGGTGCTCCCTCCCACTGGGCCTCAGGTGCTTGCCTCTCCCTCAGGCTCCTGTGATGGCTCCCTGGTCTCCCTTTGGCCCCCACCTGCTGCTCGTGCTGTTACTGCTGTGCCCACCGCTGCCCCTGACTCAGGCCCATCACTTCTCCGCACTCAACACTACCNAGATCTGGATCATAGGTCGGCGTTCAACCACTGAGCCACGCCAGCCGAGCAGGGTCTCCCTGCTCTTGCTAACCCTCACACCTCTTACTCCCATGCCCTCTCGTCTGAGTGGCGGGCACAGGATCCCCTATGATGTGGTTTCCATCAGCCTTCCTTCTCCCATGTCCTCTTCCGTCTCTGGGCTCCTGCTCCCTTTCCCAATTGTCTGGGTGCTCCCCATTCCTCTGCCTCCCTTCCTCTCTCCCCATCACCAGCTCCTCTGCCTTGCCCTCCTCTCCTCTTCTCCATGGTCTTTCCTCTCTCTGTCACAGCCCCCTGTCACTGAGTCCTTCTGTTCATGTTCTTCTGTCTTTACAAGATCTGTCTCCCTCCAACAATCTAAATGCATATAAAATAGAAGATAAAAGCAATTCTTTCTGGCGCATGCATATGAACACCCCCCATCTCTTGGAAACTCTCTTTGTCCCTCTTCCTACCCTCTCTCTCCACCCCCCTTTCTCACTCACTCCCTCTATCTCCCTGTCTCTTTCTCTCTGCTCTCTTTGTCCCTCTCTTTGCTTCTCTCTTCCCTCTCTCTTTCTCTGTCCCTGCTTTCTGCCTCCCTCTCTCTGCCTTTCTGTCCTTCTCTCCCTCCCTTTTTATCTCTGTCTCTCTTCTCAGCTCTTCTCTGCCTCTGGTGCTCTTTCCCTACCCCTTCTTCTTCTGTTCCCCTTGCTGCTCGGACAGGCGCTGGCCAGGGGTGGGGAGGTGGTGCTCCCTCCCACTGGGCCTCAGGTGCTTGCCTCTCCCTCAGGCTCCTGTGATGGCTCCCTGGTCTCCCTTTGGCCCCCACCTGCTGCTCGTGCTGTTACTGCTGTGCCCACCGCTGCCCCTGACTCAGGCCCATCACTTCTCCGCACTCAACACTACCTTCAACCATTTGGCACTGGCGCCCGGCGGCGGCACACTCTACGTGGGTGCGGTGAACCGCCTTTTCCAGCTCAGCCCTGAGTTACAGCTTGAAGCTATGGCTGTCACCGGCCCTGTCTTCGACAGTCCGGACTGTGTGCCTTTCCGTGACCCGGCTGAGTGCCCGCAGGCCCGGCTCACTGACAACGCTAACCAGTTGCTGCTTGTGAGCAGCCGGGCCCAGGAGCTGGTGGCCTGCGGCCAGGTGAGGCAGGGTGTGTGCGAGAAGCGGCGCCTTGAAGACGTGTCCAAACTACTGTACCAGGCTGAGGACCCCGGTGATGGGCAGTTTGTGGCCGCCAATGCCCCAGGAGTGGCCACAGTGGGCTTGGTGGTGCCTGCACCAGGCCGGGACCTCCTGCTGGTGGCCAGAGGCCTGGCGGGCAAGCTGTCAGGAGGGGTGCCGCCCCTGACTGTGCGCCAACTGGCTGGGCCCCAGCCCTTCTCCAGCGAGGGCCTGGGCCGCCTCGTGGTGGGAGACTTCTCTGACTACAACAACAGCTACGTGGCGGCTTTTGCCAATGCCCGCTCCGCCTACTTCGTCTTCCGCCGCCGTGGGGCCCGGGCACAGGCCGAGTACCGCTCCTATGTTGCCCGAGTCTGCCTGGGGGATGCCAATCTTTACTCCTATGTGGAGGTGCCCCTCAACTGCCACGGTCAGGGCCTCATCCAGGCTGCATTCCTTGCCCCCGGCACTTTGTTGGGGGCATTTGCTGCAGGCCCGAAGGGGACACAGGCAGCCCTATGTGCCTTTCCCCTGGCAGAGCTGGACGGGAGCATGGAGCAGGCCCGGCGCCTTTGCTACACAGCAGGGGGCCGGGGCCCCAGCGGCATGGAGGAAGCCACTGTGGAGTATGGCGTCACTTCACGCTGCGTCACCCTGCCCCCTGTAAGTGGCTGGGGCCCAAGCACCACATTTGTCTTCTCACCTCAGGCTTTGCCCACCATCTTTTGGAGGCAGCTCTGACCTCTTGCTGCCTCACCTGGCCTTGCCTGCCTTTCTGTCCTGGTCCCTCGTGGTCCTGCAGCATCTCTCAGCCCAGGGCAGGGGCTGCTACATGTAGTCCCGGGCCAGGGGCAGCTGGATACTCTCATGTGACAATTACCAATAAGCTCTTGGTTAGAGGATGTCAAGGAGGGGCCGACTTGTTCTCCAAGTCTCCTAGCTGGTCTGTCTTTCTCCCTCTCTGCATTGTGAGCTTGTCTTGCCACGGGGCTCCCTGGCCCTGCCCTCCAGCCTGCCTCTCTCTCCTCTCACTGGCTACCTGGCTGTCCTCCTCTGACTAGCTCTGGGCCTGGGGAAGGTACCTTTTGCCTCTTGCAAAAACTGATTCTCCCCTCCCTGCCTGTCCAGGACTCCCCTGAGTCGTACCCCTGTGGCGATGAGCACACCCCCAGCCCCATTGCTGGCCGCCAGCCCCTGGAGGCCAGGCCTCTGCTGCAGCTCAGGCAGCCTATCAGCGCCATTGCAGCCCTCCAGGCAGATGGACACATGGTAGCCTTCCTGGGGGACACCCAGGGCCAGCTGCATAAGGTGAGGGCCTGACAGAGCAAGGGGGCTGCCATAGAGCCAACCTCTCAGCAATGTAGTCTCAACACTGCCAGGCTAGGCCCTGCAGCGGCTCAGGGAAGCCCTGGGTACCTTCCACCTCAGCTTGTGTCCTGGCTCGCTGGGTGCCGCCAGCTTGCTGTCTGACTCCCAGAAGCATGGGCTAGGATGACTGCCCAGGAGCCTCCCAGGCAGCTCCAACTTCTCCAACCAATAGTGGGAGCTAACAGCAAAGGTGGATGAGGGTGGCATGGAGGTGGGATGGGCAGTGCCTGATCCTCAGAGCCAGCCTGGCCCCAGAAGTCTCCCCCAGGCAAACTCTTGCCTTCTCATGACCTGCTTGTCTCCCCATAGCTGCCTTCCTGCCCCTGGTGCCCGAGGGCTTCACCCAGGGTGGCCCTGCCACCCCAGCTGGGTGATGCTAGATGGAGGAGGCAACATGGTCAGGTTGGATGCCTCCATGGCTTGGGATCCCCAGTCAGGAAGAGAGCACATGCCCTGAACAGTCAGCCTGTGGCCAACTTCAGAGTGGGCCTTCGCTCAGCAGGCTGGCCCAGCCCTGTCCTTGCCGTCTCCCCAGGTTTTTCTCAACGGCTCCCAAAGCCAGGTGTACCACTCCCAGCAAGTGGGACCTCCAGGCTCAGCCATCAGCCCAGACCTGCTGGTGGACAGCAGCAACAGCCACCTCTACGTCCTGACTGCCCAGCAGGTGAGAGCTGTCCCAGGGGTCTGGGTACATGAAGCCTGAGTCCCCACACTCACTGCCTCTGTCCCTACTGTCCATCTAGGTGGACCGGGTACCCGTGGCAGCCTGCCCCCAGTTTCCTGACTGCACCAGCTGCCTCCTGGCCAGGGACCCACTCTGTGGCTGGTGCATCCTCCAGGGCAGGTGAGTGCAGGACCTATGCCCAGGTTGGGGCTGACAGGTGGTGCATGCCAGGAGACCAACACCTGGAAGCAGCTCTAGGCATGCCAGGAGGCCAGTTCAGCTCCCTGTGGTAAAGACTCGGGCCACTGCTGAGTTCCCCCATCCTGTTCCATCCCACAGAACCAGTAATCAGCAGCCCCTTCCCACCACTGCCAAACTTGTTCACTTCTCATTCTCCCAGCTCTACCCTAGGCCAGGCCTCTGTCACCACTTCCAGGTGTCCCTCTAGCCCATGCTCCATACGGAAGCCCCAGGAATCCCTACGGCACCCCTAAGTCAGGTGCACATGCCTTCCTTCTGTAGCACAGCCCCCTCTTACTGTAAAGACCAGAGTCCATGCATTGGCCACCAAGCCCTTCATGCTTGGCCCCTTCCTCTGTGAGCATAGTCTTTTCCCCTGCTTACTGCACTCCAGCTGGGTCATCCTTCCAACCCCCTTGCTGCCAGTCATCCAAATAGCCTGAGACCCACAGAGTGACCCAGTGGGCTCCTTCCCGCAGGTGTACCCGCAAAGGCCAGTGCGGGAGAGCAGACCAGCCTAACCAGTGGCTGTGGAGCTATGAGGAGGACAGCCGCTGCCTGGATGTCCAGAGCTTGCTGCCCACCCACCACCCCCGCCAAGAGCAGGGCCAGGTGAGGTTCCTGTCATCGCCTGTCTGTGGGGGGTGCCCCCAGGCTGTCCCTATCGTCCTCTCCTGCGGCCTGTGTTCTCACTTGCTTTGCTCTGGCTCCATCTCTTGGTGAGTTGGCCCCCCAGAAGCCCTTGCTTGCTCTGTTTTCCTCACACATGCCCTAGGTCACCTTGTCTGTCCCCCGGCTGCCCACCCTGGCTATGGATGAATACTTCCATTGTGCGTTTGGAGACTATGACAGTTTGGCTCACGTGGAAGGGCCCCACGTGGCCTGTGTCACCCCTCCCCAAGACCAGCTGCCACTTAACCCTCCAGGCACAGGTGAGGGGCTGCTGGGGAAGGTGGCCGAGGCAGGAGCTGGAGGGGCAGGAGCCACATGACCTATTCTGCTACCACCATGCCCTCTTAGACCACATCACCTTGTCCCTGGCCCTGATGTTTGAGGATGTGGCCATAGCTGTCACCAACTTCTCCTTCTACGACTGCAGTGCTGTCCAGGCCTTGGAGGTGGCTGCCCCGTGAGTGCTGGACCTGGCTGCTGGGTAAGGGTGGTGACCCCAGAGAGTGCCCAGCCTGAATAGCCCCTTGCCCCTCTAGGTGCCGTGCTTGTGTGAGCAGCTTCTGGCGATGCCACTGGTGCCCCCAGAGCAGCCGCTGTGTGTATGGAGAGCACTGCCCAGAGGGCGAGAGGACCATCTATAGCACCCAGGAGGTGCGTGGGCCCTCTCTGTTAGGCTCCCTTCAGTGCTCAACTCTCCATGGCTGCAGGGCTGCGACTGTGGGCCTCTGCTGGCCCAGCAGCCAGCCTGACACCTTCACTGCCATTGCAGACCCACCCCACCCTATGCGCTGCCCAAGCCCCTCAATTTTCAAAGGGCTAAGGGATCTTCTTTCCCCAGGTGGACGTC